CCGCCACTTTTATGACCCCTCCTATCCGCGGGCCGCGCCCGACGACCGCGTGCGGTTCCCGACCTGGCTGATGCTCGGGGTGGGTGCGGCGGGGCGGCACTTGGGATGTGTGAGGGGCGCCTGGCTCGGGGCAGCGGCTGCCGGGCTGGCCTCGCTGCCGCGTGGCCGCGCCTGGGGGTGGCGGCGTTGCGTCAAGCAGGCGCGCTTTGTGCAGCCGGCAGTGCGGGTTCACATCCGTATCCTCTGGGCACAGGGTACGTCTGAGGCCGCCAGCGGGTGGCTGAAGCACCCCCCTCCCTCCCCGACCCCGCCAGCTCCTGCTTGCCGTGCACGTGATCACAGTCCCCTACCCAGCAACACCCACCCCTTGCTGCACACACTGTACTATCCATCAGTTTTCTCATGCGTCCTGCCGCACCCCCCCCCCTCTGCGCCAGAACCATGACTACGTGAACAACGTCGGCCACTGCAGCGAGAAGGCCGTGGACAGCAGCTTCTGCCCCAAGTGGGCCGTCGCGATGATGCGCTCCGCGCTCTCCCCGGACTGCCCCTCCTCACACTGGGCCGGACTGCCAAAGTCCAACGTCACCAGCCTGGACATCGGGTCCATGTCGTACTCGTTCGGCTACGGGCGTTACTATTTCATCGTACTGCAGCACAGCCCGCGGTACGAGGCGCGGGAGATCGGGATCGCGGGCTCCATGGGCTGGCTGGCGCGGGAGCTCGCCATGGCGACCGCCGCTGGGCGCCGCGTCGTGCTGCTGCTGCACGCGCACAAGGAGCTGCAGCTGGCCTACGACCCGACGTTCAGCCGCCTGGTGGAGAACAGCAACGTGGTCGCGATATTCTACGGCCACGTGCACATCCGCCCGTGGGGCCTCGTCGGGCGGTACCCCAACACGAGCGTACCGATGTACAACTGCGGGGCCGCCTGGTACAACGTGTACTGCCTGGCGGAGTTTGGGGAGGACAGCATGCGGGTCGGCGCGGTCGCGCACTACGGGGACGCGGTGCCGACCTGGTTCGGCACGAGCCTGCACAGCCTGCCGCGCGGGCAGCGGGGCAAGCCGGTGCTGGAGGTGTTCGTGCCAAACCCCAACGTCACGACATGGGTGGGTGGCTTCCCAGTAGTGGCGGCGAACACGTCTCTCGGGGCATGGTTTGTTACGGCTGCAGCCACGGTTGGGATGGACAGCAGCTGGGGTGGCATAATTCACAGCTGCAAATCAAGCATTTGGCTGTTGTCCTAGGTTGAGGGTTGAGGGTGGTTAACCCAAGCACGGGAGAGTTGACCTAGCATTCATGCAGGCAATCCATGTGCCGGCCGCCTCCACCTGCACCAAAACATGCCGTCACGCGCTTATCACTGCTCACAGTGGAAGCCAGCGTCCGCGAACGCCTCGACCGGCGCGGACGCGGTGGCGGATGATGCGCAGGCGTCAGGCGGCGGCAGCGGGGCGCTCGTGCCCGCAGGCTCGGCCGCAGGCGGCAGCGGCGGCGGCGACGGTGACGGCAATGGCGGCGGCGCGGGCGTCGGCCCCGCGGGCAAGTGGTCTATCAAAGGGCGACGGCTCCTCGCTCGGGGCAGTTGGCGGGGGCTGCCATGGCCACTGCACCAGTGAAGGTGGTTGCTGAGTGACATTGTGCGCACTGCTCTAGCGCTAACAGAGGATATACATGTGTCAACATGCATAGAGAGCCACAATCAGCACCATAGATTGTGACAGCGCAGGATTTCGTCAGATCACTGCTCAACTTTCACTCAAGAACCCCCAACAAGCCCAACGAAGGACGATATGCATTGGCCTGCTTTCCACTTTGGCCTTGCACTCATTGCTTATACTGCTTCTTATGACTGAATCTTGACACATACAAACTTTTGACCCAGCTGGTCATCAAAAGCTTGAGCCCACAAACGGCCCTGCCAAACTTGGCTGCTGGCGTGGATTTGATGAAAATGTTAATGCGTCAACTTGCCAGCGCACAGCGTCGGCGGTGCACTGCATTCCCAAGCACCAAGGTAATTGATTTGGCTTGAAGGAGGCTTTGCATGGTGTGAGCATCCTTGACAGCTGGCCTAGCGCCATGATCAGCTTTACAGTGGTCACGCCATCGCACGGCATGGCGGAAGACAGCCTACACACCTGCACATCTTGAATTGCACCCTCATGTTTCAAAGGGCGAATGTTGCATGACAAACAATATGCAATGCGGCAGTCGGTACCGCTCGTTGCGGGCGTCACCGGCCGCCGCCTGTGCTAGCCGCCGTGCCTCCACCAATTGCACACTGTTCGTGCTCGTGCGGCTCCCCAAGCCGCGACTCACCCCCCTCCCCCTGGATGTTCTGCCCCTCCTCCCACTCGTGGGGCCCCTCACCCATCTCCACGACCCATGCCAGCCGCTCGTCCTCGTCAATGGCGGCATCCGGGTCCTCTCCAATTTCCTGCAGCCCCGCCCACAGCTCCTCCTGCTGCTGCTGCCGCCGCACCCTCCCCTTATCATTCCCGTCCTCCTCCGGCCCGTTCACCCCCACCTTGCCCGCCCCGCGCCGCAGCCGGCCGCGGCCACCCGCGGCGCCGGCCGCCGCGGCAGCGGCGTGGCTGCTGCTGCTCTGCCGGCGGAACGGTTCCCACTGCTCCGCGCGCTCCCGCTCGGCAGCCGCCCGCTGCACTTCCATCTGCAGCTCCTCTCGCGCCGCCGGCAGCAGGTGCGCCAGCTGGCGCCGCTGGCGCTGGAGCGACCGGAGGTGGGGGCGCGGCGGAGGAACAAGGGTGATCTCGGCGTGCGAGTGGCGGGTGCATGGGGCGGACCCCCGGCGACACCAACCCAGTACTGTGGTCGCCCACTGGGTCGACAGCCTGCGCTCCCCCGGCTGCTCGCTAGCTTAAAGCAAGAATGCGGTCGTTAGACTGCCTGCTGACGCGCCAAAGTCAGAGGAATGATGACATCACCGGGTTGTCAGCGCCCACGCAAGGCACACAGTGCGCGTGGATCCGACGGCCGCCAACGTGAGACTCGGCGGCTGCGCCGCGCCCTTTACGCGGCCCGGCTGCGCCCTCACCTTATGAAATGTGATAAATTGGGCGGCCGTTGGCTCCGGCATCCAGGCCGCCAGCACCTCCAGTACCAGGCTGCACAGCGGGTGCGCATACACCCGCACCCACTGCGTGTCGGTCGGCGGCTGCTGCTGCGGCTGCGGCTGCTGCGGCTGCTGCGGCTGCGGCTGCTGCTGCTGCTGTTGTGCATGCGGCAGGGTCTGGCTTGCCAGCTGCGCTGCGAGCGCCAGGGTGTTGATTGTGGAGCGCTCTTCCGGGTACGGAAAGTAGGCCAGGGCCTGGGGGCGCGGTGGGGGGCAGGAGGGTTGATG